ATATAGTTGGTATTTATCCAAAGGTATCAGTATACTGCTGTTGCCATGTATTTCTCCGTGAGGTATACTAGAAAACCCATACCCTACATTAGGTGGCTAGGTATATTGTAGTTGAGCGTTCTATTTTTGAGCATGGCCTTTTCGGCCAAAACAAAAAGATACATATTATACTTTATACCATACATATAACTTTAATTTTGTTAAAATCTGTATAATGTATAAATATAATTCATCATAACCCGCAAATTTCTAACCTCTCCTCTAAGACTCTCCCGGATAACCCTCCACGTCAACTAAAACGCAATTGGCCTCGTGATTTTTATTTCGCTTTATAAAACAAGTTTGCAGAAGTGCCAATGGATCTCAAAATCTCATATTTACTTATTGTTTTATTATGTTACAGATTGTAAATATATTTATATTATAAAATAAAAAAAATAAATAATGATGATGTATATAATTTTTTTCTTTAAATACTTTTTGGTTTGGACGAAAATTGTCTCACCCATTCACTCTTCTGGATTCTTCCCTTAATTTCTAGACTAGGTATCTGAAATATGAAGGTATATTTTTTGCGCTAGTGAATTTATGGTTTATCACAAATTAAACAGGGTAAACACTAAACGGTAACTTTGTTCGATCCATCGTTAAAACTCAAAACTCTGATACTTTGTACGTTCAGATACTTTGTACCTATATCTGGTTATATTTATTGTATATAAGAGTATATTATTAATTATCAGTAATAGCAAGGCTCGTGAGTTCATACTCTAAAGGCCTAAAATATACCTAAATAAGCATGCCAAAAGCTAGCAAAATATGTTTTGAAATATGCCATAAAGTTCATAAATATGTATTAATATGCACTAAAAATATGCGGATTATAAAAAAGAAACCATTAATAATTTTTATTATCAGATAAGAGTATATTATATAAGTATATCACATGTTTTAAATTTTCATTGCTTACTTGATGCGGACATAAAACACTGACTATATATCAGCGTTTTATTTTTAATAATTTTACCTTGCTACAATTTTCATATATTTTATACAATGAAAACTATTAACTATTGCATTTTTCATCAAATTTTGGTTAAAAATTAGCTAAATATGCCCTATGGCCTATTTGTCGTATTTATGCGTTTTTTACATATAAATACGCCAAATAGGCCAAAAACCTCTAATTATATGCAAAATAAAACTTCTGCACATACTTAACCAAAGTACCTTGAAATGAATTTCTATATCGTCCAGCATTGAATACGACTTAACAAGATTATTATGAAAATGCGTAAACTTGCGAGTTCTGGTAATAAGTATTTAAGCACAACTATTCGCAGCTCTCAGCTAACTCCAAACGTTACTATATGCACAAGCGCAAGGCACGTTTAACGTTTTACTTAATTATTCTCATAGGTTTTATTTTATTTGTTTGTATTTACAGATATGGAAAGCTCTCATTGCGATGGGTTACCTGTTCACCGTTACGTGGATTACGGCATTCGTCATGGTGATCGTTCACGATCGCGTCCCTGACATGAAGAAATATCCGCCGTTGCCGGACATATTCTTGGACAACGTGCCATACATCCCTTGGGCGTTTCACATGTGCGAACTGACCGGCACCGTGTTGTGTTTCGTGTGGCTCGCCGTACTGGTCTTCCACAAGCACCGTTTTATACTACTTAGGCGGTTTTTCGCTTTGTCGGGTACAGTCTTCCTATTACGGTGCATCACGATGATCATAACTTCCTTGTCCGTGCCGGGCATCCATCTAGAATGCACGCCCCGGCAGAAGCCATCGTATTTGGATGGTATGTGTGATCGGGATGACGATAGTAGTACAACAGCTATTGTACGTTTTAATACGTATCTATTGAATTTCCATTTTTATTTTATTTTTTAAGAAAATTTTATACTTTTAAAATCAATGTGGCCTTTAGGTTCCATCTCTCTCCAATCAAAGTTTATTTTGATAAGTTGTATTAATAGTATGCCGTGTTACAGATGGAAATTTTCTGGGAGAAATGGTWTACAAAATGCAACAAGCGTATGTGATATGGAGAGGAGCTGGAATGTCGATACAAGGGGTTCGCACTTGTGGCGATTATATGTTCAGTGGGCATACAGTGGCATTAACCATGTTAAACTTTTTCATCACTGAATGTAWATATTTGTATTTTTACTAAACAGTTCAAATTTATGATTTAACTTAAGTACTTATATATTAAATACGTTTATTTTTGTTTTGCAGACACTCCACGTGACATTTATTTATTACATACGTTCAGCTGGCTCTTAAATATGTTCGGTATATTTTTTATACTTTCGGGTCATGAACACTACTCTATTGATGTATTCATTGCCTTTTACATAACATCAAGACTATTCCTATACTACCACACTCTAGCTAATAATCAAGCATTAAGCAACAACGTTGATTCTTGTCGAACGCGAATTTGGTTTCCATTGTTTAGTTTCTTTGAGTCTTCATGTAGCTGCATGGTACCAAATGAATATGAATCRTTGACAGAAATTGCTGAAAATATGGCCTGTTCAACATACAACAATTATTTAGTCATTAAATCAGCTATCAAGACTCAGATTCTGCTATTGCGAGCACTACCAACTAACCAAACAGTACAAATTGATCCAACTTCTTTAGTTGGCGCAAGCGCAATTAGGTCAAGAACACCAATTGTTTTGATTAAAAAAAAAGATAAATAATTCAGAATGCAAATGTGAACGCACAAATAATTGWTTGCTTCCTTATGAATCAATAAAGATGATTTTTTAGACCGAAGCACAGAGTATATACTTACATCTATATTATATTGAAAATAATTATTAAACATTGAATTTTGTGATATAAAGTTAATATTTGTTAGGCTATACTCCAAATATGATTATATTTTATTATTTTTCATCTAGTTATATTCATCATTATATTGTTTAATTATCATAATATTATTGTATAAAATATGTCTCGATCACTTCCATTTTCTYGGTAGTGTTTAATAATTTKCTAATTCTAATCATGAATCCTATTACTTGATTTTTTTATTTGTATAACAAAAATATTAATGATACTATTAGATTTGTTTAAATTTTTATAATTTTTATTGAATTCCTATAGGCAATAATTCCTAATTAGAAGTTATTTTATTTTATATTTTATTTTAATAAAAAAGTTTACCGGCCTTCTAAATCAGCAGGTACTTAAAACTTATTTTATTACAAGCTTAAAATTAAGTTATTTAGTCATAAACCAGTCATCAACATCTTGATACAAAATGAAAAAGATATTTTACCAACAAATAAACATGTACATTTATCTTGTCAAATATTGTATAAAAGATTTACTCATATATCAATAATGAATATATTTATTTATTTTTCTGCTACTTTTCCAATTTGACTGTTTATTTTTACTGTAAATTTTATACTATACCTAAGCAATTTGAACAATAAATAAATATATTATTTTTAGTACATCCTATTACATAATAACATTTTATAACCAAGGTACCTGGTACTATGTAATATTGTCCTTAAAACTATACTGCATGGGAATAATATGATACTCTCCTATAGAATCAACTAAATTTGATAATTTTGTTTTGATCAATAGAGAAAAAGTCTACAACCCTCATCGAAATATATTTTTTAATATTCTAATTCAAACTTTATAATATATTAATATCTCTTTAAAATAATTTATTTTTTATTTTTTTTTTATTTAATATATTAAAATGTTTCAGCATATTATATGCTATTACAAGTTTACAATTTTAAATTATTTAAAATATATTTAAAAATGTAGTTCAGTTTGGGCTGTATAATTTTATTAAATGTTAATTTATCCAAAGAATTTTGTTACCTAAATAAAAATTACTCATAGAATTTTATTTAGATAATCTTTAATATTGAGTTATTTTATAGATACATAGGTTTTGGAACTGCCTTTGAATCAGAGAGAAGGCTTCATATTATTTGCACATAAGTGCATGACACACTTTTAATAGAAATAGACCATAAAAAAAAATTCAATGGGCTAGATTTGGACCCTAGTTTGTRGGTCAATACAATTTTCTTTTTGATTAACAGTTTTWTGGAAAAATCAAATTTGTGACGTTTCTAATAACTTATCACTGCAGTGTACAAGAGATTCCTTGTTTTACTTTTCATATAATTTAATTATATATAAAAGAGTTAACAGAGGCATGTAATATATCTAAAAAAATGCGTATGGTAGATTAAACTAGATAGTATTCGAACAAGAAAGCTTTTTATTTGTTTTATAAGTGTTAAAAACTACGGTGAAAATAAATTTTTTTAGTTAGGAAGTTACTAAAATAATAATACTTCAGTTGTTATTTTAGTTGAAATTAAAAATTGTCAAATGGTAGGGTCATGAATTAAAAATTTTTCTAGTTTATATTGAGTTACTAGACAAATTAATCATTGACCACATGCACAAATGCGAGTATTAATGACTAATTAGCATCAATAGTTAATATTTACTTATTATTATACCCAATTGATTACCTATATCAAATCAAATTTTTACTTAACAATTTAAATTAAGAGGATGTTAACCACCATTTGTATTCTTYCTCTGACCCATGTGTGACCATCAAATTTACGTATAGTAAAATTAATTATGTGTTATTACTTTCAATATTAGACCGAATTCATCTTTTATCAAACTTTAAATAATATTTTGT